GCTTGCGGGGGCATTGTACACACAGTAATTGCTTTGAACAAACTGTTAAAGATGAGTAATATGTCAGATACCAGTTGGGCGAGAGGTATGACGTAGAATGCCCTAAGGATGCGGGCTGATTGATAATTAAAGCAAGGAGCCGCACTCCAGGGATTGAGGTCATTGTTCGTGCTGTTTGATTCTAATGAATATCTTTTAGAGTGGAATGTGCTGGGGGGAGGACAGTAGGAACGGGAGAGGAGAGGAGAGGAGAGGAGAGGAAAGAAAAAGAAGGTTACGCAATAAAAACAGGGAGAAAAAAGAAATTTAATCGAGAGTAAAAAAAAAATCCTTGAAAATCAAAACTATATCTTGGATAATTCATTATTTTCAAATATACTGAATAACAAAATTATCAATGAACTAACAGAAGAGGTTGACAAACTCAAAACCACAGCAAAGKTAATACTTTTTTTTACAAGTGTAATGCTTAAAAGCCTAGATTATGCCCTTAAGGTTGTCAGAGGGATATTTATCAATCATTCCTTGATTTATCATAGGTTTCCATAGCGACGCAGACACCAGTGTGCAAGACTGAAATGGAACAAATTGAAGCGATTCTGTGAAACAGTAGCAAACACTGAACCAAACGGCAAGAAAAATAAATTTATAATATCATAATAATCTRATAAATATAAATTTGACGACTATTAGTCAAAAAAGATATTGCAAACGACTTATAGTCTTGTTTTATGTTAATTGACGACTGACATAATAATCAAATTGGAAAAAAAAAAACATTTTGTAATGAAGTGTATTTTCTAAATAAAGAAAGCTAATTCAAACACCTGAAGCACGAACATTTGTTTATATATCGTGAAATAATATTTTTTTTATTTTCAATTAACTGATCAGACGTGGCACGTACACACCTTTTTTTCAGCTTTAGAGATTTTTAAAGCAGTTYCTTTTCGAACGGAAATTTTCTGTTTCAATAAAGTCAACATTAACCAATTTTAGAAAACTAATTTCTGTGAATGATTTTTAGTATTTTCTAACTTAATTTAAGTTGATAAGCTTTGAAGTGAAAATAAATTTAAAATATGCCATCGGCATCGACGACTACCAGTTTCACTAAATTGATATTTGAATTACCGATACTTTTTTTATAATAACCATGCCGATTTTTTGCTTTAATTTGGCTACTCTGCTATGGTCATGCGTAATATACTATCGGATACCATGAATATAAAGATCACAGTTTTCTCATTAAAGTGTTCAAAACARATGACTAGCTTCGTAGAAAGAAAACAAAATTCGAGATTGAGAACACGTAAAATGCTGAGTTTATCTGAAATATTCAAGAATGTGCAAATTCTGTCAAAACAGGAAGAGAAGAGAGGAGGCGATGTATTAAATATAAATTCTCTACGATTACAAAGCATTTACGTTACGTTACGAAACCTTTCCCGGTCCAATCTATCAAAAATGCCGCCRTGAACATCAAAAAATTAAACGTTATCTGACAATTTTTCTTCCACCCGCKGATAATCTTGAATACGGTCCATTTTATTTTGAAATCGCGATCGGAAGATATGTTGTATACATTGTATATTTATGATGCATAATTCCCCCAGCAGTTTTTCATATCTAGCTTTTATTTGCTCTGGCAAGGGGTCCTGCAAATCCAAGGTGCCAGTAGTTAGGTCATTCTTCTTCCAGTCTTCGTATGTGATGTTAAAAATAGAAATGCACTCAGTACTATTTATGGGTCAATAATGAAATCACTTGACTTGATCATGACGCCGGCATCGAACGGTATTACAAAGGSCCTAATGTACTAGTATGGACTAATGGTGGGTGATCACTTTTAAGATATATTTGTTTCCTCTTGCCAAAAATTAAAAGGAACCGAGTGAAATTATAAAGTCACGACTCTTAACAACCTAGAAAAACTTGTACTGAACCGTAATATAGAGCAAAAGCTAAAAYTATGTATCCAATGCTGCTATGACAGTACAGTTATATTAATGCTAGTCTTATGACTTAGGCTGGCGTTAAAAAGTACATAACAATATAAAATAATTATCATGTAAATACAGCAATATCGCTTCCGGATCGTTACGTCTCCGATATGCTCCACGTGTATATACACCTATTTCAAAAWAGGTTGTCGGTCGGAGATCTGAAATCTGAGACCGAAAGGAATTGTGGGTTGTGAGCTGTAAATTGTTTGTGGTTTCAATTAGTAGTTCGCAAAAAGTTAATATCTTGATATACTAACTTTGAGCAATGACCTGCGCTGGCAAACTATCTTGGTAAATGTATATTAAATATTTAACGTGAAAACACTCAGTCCCCCACAATTCCAATCGATCTCAGATTTCTGATTTCAGGGCCGGTTGTACGAAGCCTGGATAGCGCTATCTAACGGATAAATCTTATCCAGTGGAAAAATTTATTGGATAACAGCATCGACTTATCCACTGGATAAGGATTTATCCGCCGGATAGCGCTATCCAGGCTTCGTACAACCGGGCCCAGATATCCAACCGACAACATTTTTTGAAATAGGTGTATATCATAGTGATTGTTGTAAAATACATTCAGCGTATTAAACTCCTGATGAGTGAGGCAACTCCACCTCACGAAACAGCGTTACAGAGACACAACAAATAGTCATGTTTTGTTTTTCCTACATTGCTGCTGTGAACCAGTCACTTATGGACAACTCGAGAAAACACCCATAATTTCTTAGGCCTAGGGCAAACGTCGAACTTTCCATGCACCGAACTCATTAAAAACAATGGATATCAGGTGATAATGAGGCGGCATTCTTTGATGTAATTAAGTTCGGTGCATGGAAAGTTCGACGTTTGCCCTAGGCCTAAGGCGCTTTTGATATACTTGTATATAATATGTACGAAAGGGTCAAAGTTTATGCATATGGTTGTAAATATAAAATAGCCTACTGAGAGAAACAAGAGAGAAGTGTTGTCCACAGCCAATCACACAAAAACGGCTAAGCTAGAAAATACCAAAAACACACCATTTCTATACATTAAGGTGGCTGCCTACTTTTGAACGTTCAATTTGAGTCCACGATGTGCGCGCGCTCAAAATTAAACCGCTGAAAAATCTACAAGATTTTATTGAAGAACCAGGGCAAAACACTCAAATCTTCGGCACGGGACTCTCTATTTTTTAATAGCTCATTCGAAAAAACTCCTAAAAATCTAGGTTATATCAACATTTTAGAAAAAGTTAATTTTACTAACACRTGAAAAAATTGATTTTTGTAGGGATTTTTGTTCGACTTGATGAGATTTTTTAAGAGCACCGAAACGACAAAATGTGACGAATCAATGTATATCTTTGTCTTTTTGTCGAAAACTATCCACTTAATATTGTAGAATGATTGACTAGCCGTGATTCGTGCAATCATAGAGTCTGCAAATAACAATTATCTTATAAATCTTAATTTTTTTCTGATCTCTTCCGATGGCCCAATTTTTGCTCCGAAAGCTCGCGAGCAGGCATCCATTAAATGCCGATTATCTCGAAAACAAGCTCGGGAAACCCCATTTTTCTTTTYATATTTGGAACCAGCATTAAATTTCACTTTAAAAGAATATAGTTTTAAAAAAAGTTTAATTTTTTTCCCAAAAGTAGGTAGTCACCTTAAAGACGAGGATGTGCGCAATTTAGTTTTTAGTTGAAGAGATCCGATCCCTTTCTGGAATTTCTAGAAAAACCGCACGTTTGTCTAGCAAGAGAAGACTAGTTTTCGGATGAAACGTAGCTCTTTAAACAGTGCGTTTTTGTGGACGTTTATTGGTTGGAAGCAGAAGCTATAGACCGTTTTCTCAAGGTTGCGTGCGCATCCAAATTTAAGAAACTTGACGGGCCACGATACCAGAACACGAGTATTATCATGCATTGCTGTGAATTTTTTTACGATAAGAATTCATAAAATGGATTATTCTCCTCTTTAAATATAAARCTGTCTTCTYAATTTTACTGAGTTTGCGYTTTTCAGTTTTGCGGCCCGACAAGTTGGATACGCACGCATTCGTGAGAAAACGCTTTATTTAAGGGTTGCGGTATGGCACCTGCTTGCCGGGAATTCAAAGTCAACTCTACTTTCACCCGTAGATTGCATTTCTTTCTAAATATATACACACTTATTCGCAGGAACTTTTACATATAAAAATAGAAAACGGTAACAAAATAACAAATAGGAATATGTACATTGCTTTTCTCTCATACGATTTTGTATCAAAGTCAAAGCTAGAAATACCACTAAACCATGATACCATTCCGTGTGATAGACTCTATTCTAGCACTCCGACAGTTGTTTCAGTCTCCTTATAATTGTGTCGAACGGTCTAGTTTTGAATGGAATCGATATAGCGGAGTATGCGGACGCAGTCGAACTCTCTTAATGGGGAGTGTCTATATAATAAGCCAAAAAATGGATCGCTGAATATTCCTAGATTTAATATTAATATTTAATTTTCGATTGGTTAAAACTTAATTTTCAATGTCACGAACTAAATACGCTATAGTATACAGACTGAATTTACCCCCTTATAAAGATTGTGAAAATTTTTTTTCGCTGTAAGTGAAAGTCTAATTGCCGGTCAAGAATCTCCTTAGAAGGAATGTAATGGATGTATTTTTAGAATAAATGAATGAAATCCTTGACCACGCTCTCTTACGCTAAATTCTTTAACTCGGTTGTAGACGTATTGTAAGAAGTATATCTTAAACAGCCTACACTAAGCTYATTACATACGTCTTATTGCTCGAGAGCCTTTCTTGGGTAAAAGATTTTCCTAAAACGATAACAGCCTCTTGGAGTAACAGCCTCTTGGATTTTTAACTACTTGAGATTTGTCGTGTGTGATTTCATGAAATTAGAAATGGAAGCTCTGATACATATATATTTGATACTTATTTATATTTGACATATAAATGATAACATCATAAATGCACAGCGATAATGAAGTCTTACTTACCAAGACTTACTTGCACTGCGCCCTTATCTTTTGGGGAAAAGGTTTCCCTGAAGAGATAACAGCCATTTGTACCGACCTCTTCAATGTTCAGTACTTGAGAACAGTCCCGTGTGCTTCAGTTGAAGTTCGACATAAATATAAGCTCTTCTAAGCTCTTCCTCGAGTTACATGCATATTTGTATATAATACAGTATCATAAAATATACAACCGGTAATAATCAATTCTTACTTGTTTCTTGGATAAATTTTCTTCTGAAAAGTGAATATTTTTCACGCTGGCTGGGAAGGAAAGACGTGAGGTGATTCAGAAGTGCTGAACGTAAAGCAGAGTCAATGAGAAACTGGACAACTTTTCGGCGATCTTCTGAAGCCTTTTTTATGAAAGTGTCTTACTAAAGTGTTTCAAACCAGAGGTAGAAATACATTTTCCTTATGTATTATAAAGATTAACCCTTAAGGAGATGTAGCTAATGATATCACAGATAGCAAAACACTAAATGATGACTGCAAGCTGATATGGAGCATTAACTCTTACCTTCGATTGGCTATCACAAGTTCATTAAGCTCCTATCTGTGGTCCTAACCACTTCAAAACGGAATCGAATATCAATCATTAGTAAGAATTCTCCCTGGTGTATAAGTATCCAAATAGAGTCYTTTTACTCAAACTACTTGCCTCTTGCTGCGATGAAAGAACCGAAGAAATTAGAATTTCAATTTAACACCGAGAGAAAAATAAAATGTTAACAAAGATTACTAGATCAACTGAAAGTTCAGTTTGGTTTTCCGTTTTGAATAATTTTAAAATTTATTTTGGGTTCAATATCAACCGAGATAAATATAACTAAGAGAAAAAGAGGCGAAAAGGAACGGAAAGCATTGAATCAAAAGAAAAAAATTAAAGAAAGAAAAATCCATAATATAGTGTTGTGTGTCAGAGCCAATAGACCCTTTGCAGTTAACGGTCACGTGTCTGTACTGGGCTGCCAAATTTTTGTTTTTATATTAAATTGGTGATTCTTTTTAGCTACTTGTAAAGAACTGAATGAAAACATGTGTATCCAGTGTGTAACGAAATGCAGTTTTATTACGATCTCGCGAAACAGGTTGTAGAAAGTTTGTTTGCAGTCCAGTAAATTTCACCCATGGGAATCAAAATGTTCATACTCGTAAGCCATATCATAGGCTCTGGAAAACCCTATACTGACCGGAAGCAACCAATTCGAACTCCAACGCTGGGATTTATTGTTGGGAATTTCCTTCTAATACCCAATAGAAAAACAAAATTCCCAACAAACTAACATTGGGAATCAGTGCCACGTTCCCAATTTCGTTCTCTCTGGGGATTGGATGGGAATTCGTTGGGAATCGGATATCGGATTGCTAAGAAAAATGCAAACAAGATATAGAGTAAATAGAATGACAGGGGTCGGGAAACGCCCATGCCATGCGCCATGCGCCATAGTCACATTTTCACACAAAATGGCGCAATTAATCTAGTTTTACTGCGCCATTTGGCCCATCGGCTATGCACTTGTATGTTTACCTAAGTAAAAATTCTATATACCTTGGCGCGTGTAGTTATTTTATCGATAGAAAAAAGTACGAAAAAATTCAAAAGTCGCCATCTTGTACGAGTGGGACTAGGTCCGATTAGATAAAACAAAGCCTGCGATTGGTAATAATTCAGCTAATAGTGTTTGGCGATAGCTCTAATGCATTTCAACACGACTTCACGCATGGCCACTCAGCACTTCATCTCGAGTGTATGTCAAGTTTCATATAAACAATGCCACCGAAAAAAAGAATAGACTGCTGATCAGAGGACAATGTTTTCATTGTTTGGAGACAAAAGTTCATCAGGGTCTGTTGAAGAYATTAATTCAGCAGTGAATGAGCCTAATACACAAGACAAAGGTCCYACATTGAACACTGACGATTCGAAATCCAAGAGTCGAAAATTTCAAGAAAGATGTTTTTAAAWATTTGGCCATGGCTGAAGTATGACGATAAAWAWTGTTTTGCACAGAGTGTATAAAGAATGGAAAGATAAGCTCGTTTACTACTGGTTACTCAGTTACTTACCTGTTTATCACTGATCGCATGTAAGGATGTTGTGTTTCGTATAAATAATGATTATATTATTTTTTATGATAAAAATAAAGAACATATAATTCAATTATAYGATTATTTCAGAAATGGGGAGTCATAATTATTGAAGTGCTTCACGGTGCTTTAAAATTTTTTTATAATTCTGGCCCATAATAAATTGGCCATTGCCCATTGCACTCAGCAATGGCCCATAATTAATTAAAATTTGGGGCCATAGTCACATTCATAAACTTTTTAACCTGATCACTGGAATGAAAAAGTTTTTATCGGATCAGGGTACCTAGGGAAAAACTGTGCCAGCCATGGCCTTAAAAATATACCCTTGCCTAACGAACCATTCWGAAAGTAGAGAGAAAATCCTTAAACCTATTCACGGGGAATTCTGTGCTCGCTCGGGGGAAATTAAAAGAAGGTCTAGCAGGGTAGGAGAACATATTGAGCCATTCCGTGGTAAATATTGCTGTACTTTACTTTATATCCATATTCGTAAGCTTACCTTAATTCGAAGTGAACATAGATTTGCTTTTGGTGATTTTTCCGCCATTGAAAGCTTTAAAATTTCTAAAATATTAATCCAAACTTCCAGAAATTAGCGGAAGAGACGCTTAAAATTATCCACCATCTTGAATATAGCTTGGAAGCCTGGCCTCTAACAGAGGAAGCCTAAAACCACAGGAAACCCACCCTAACAACACTATAAGAATCTCTTGTGGCGCCTCTTGGGTCTCCTTATTCTTCTCAGTTGGGAAATAAAAGAGAGAAATAAACAGACCTAGGAGAAATAAAAATGTAATTGGGAGAGAAATTAAAGAAGAAAGGAAAGGGTAATTCGAGAAAATAATATAAGATTTACTAAAAGCAAGGAAGGTAAAAGCAAATAGGGAGAGGGAAATTGAGAAGAACAGAAAGAAAAAAGTTAACTGATAAGGAAGAAAAATAAAAGAAGGAAGGAACAAAAGATGGGAGAAAAATGAGCGGGAAAATAAATAAAATCAGGACATACAAGTACACTTTTGGTTTCCTGTTAAGTTCAACATGGAAATGTCAAGAAGACGCAATATCGGATTGCTTAAAAAAAAACAGAAAGAAAGAAAAGATATAAAATAAATAGGATACAAAACGTTTTACACTAAGGTCTATATTTATTCAATTTAGTCTTAAAAAGAAAAAAAGAAAAAAAAAMCAGAATGTACGTACTGAAACAAATTTGGGTAACTATAAATTTTAGRTCACCCATCCAAGTACTAATTCCCCTCAATCGTGTTTGACTCTGTGTCTAGTAAGCCCAAGTTTTTTCCACTGGACCATGATTTCAGGAAATTAGCATAACAATAGACATGACAACAAAGAATTTTTTCCCACTTAGGGATTAGCTGTAGATATGGTCTGGGGGCCGGCTAGTCTCTCCCCTGATGCTTCGGCTAGAACACTAACCTGCGTAATCCGTACACCCAAGGACAGAGGGACTTAATTACCGTCATGTCCGAAGTCCATACGACGACCAAGCGGATGTCTCGGGGTATGGCATGAAGGCACGAAGAAAAGGATGTAGTGCGATCTTGATTGGGTTCCTTCAGTGGTTTTCATTATGGGGAATATTGGGGTGGGGTCACCTTGTCTATAACAAAAGGAGCTCCCCTGTTAGGCGGTGCCCACAWTTATAGTCATGATTGCTCTAAAGAAAAGTGGGGGTTTGAGTATCTATTTGTGCGCGGGAACTGGGAAATGCTGTCCCCATTGGTTAGACATGCGGTAGTCCTCACAGTAGTCACATAAAACAAGAAATTATAGCAATAGCTATAGAGATAAGAGAATGAATAATAAGAGAATAATAGCCATAGCTAGAGAGAAAATACCGAAAAAGTCGAAACCAAGCGGAGTTAAAGCTCTTATCAGCAAACTGAAGTGACATCCACAAGAAGATTATGGCACGGACGTAGGGATAATATGTAAGGGGCAATGTTTTAATTTCCCGCCAAATGCACAGGAATCCCGTAGAATTTTGGTGCCGAAAGAAAACCTTTGCGGGGGGAGGGGGCGTGCCCGTGACCCTCGTGCCCCCTCCCTATGCTAGTGGATTATGGACAATCAGCCCTTCAAAATGACACATGCTTATGAACGCTTTGGTTGGTGAAAGACGAGGGCCAAATCAACTTGACTCAGCCTTGACGCGACAAAAAGGAACCGGAAAGACGTTGGTATAATACCAAGTAATGTTTCTAGTACGTCATGTATGTTTCAGTTAACCACATTATCTATCTATACTTTATTGATATTCCGCTTTACGAGGACACACTCATGTACCCTCTTTACCCTTGCATATCCTGCCATGTCGAGAATATGGACTTGAATTGAAGAGAATTTCCTGATACGCATTTACTGTGTGTGATACAATTTYGTTAGCGTATACGGGATTATATTACTTATAGGAGAGTAACAATCAAACAGGAGTCAAGAATGCTCAAAAGTAACCCAAAATAAAAAAAATTTAATTCGACTTTGTGATTTTAAGTGAAGATCAAGTTGGAGCCACATGACAAGTGGCTAAGAAGCACTCGTCAAGATGGCGGCGATTAACGTAAAACTCTAAAGTTGCTGCATCAGTTGTTATCTTAAAGGCACAATTGTTTGACTCTTGAATGGCGACCTTTTATTTTATTTATACTTTCTGAACAACTATAATTGAATAAAAATTAAGAGACTWTACACAGAATGAGCAAACATCTTTATATTAATGAAGTATTGTTAAAAGACGTGACCGCCCTATTGGGGCCAAAGCCAWGAGAAGTTTTAAAAAAACATGGCGGATATAGCGTCATAAGGCTAAAACAATCTACGCATGCATTCGTCGAAATGTCTAAATTATAGTGCGTTTAGCACAAAACTCTAGCTATTTTTGTTCATTACTTATTTATTATTTCAGAAGTAAAACAATTTCTCTTCTTCTATACTTTTCTATAGGTTCAAAGAAATAAAAAGCTATTTACGATTTCTTACATCCATGTTTTTCTCTATTTTTATTTT